GTGTGTGTGTGTGTGTGTGTGTGTGTGTGTGTGTGTGTGTGTGTGTGCGCGCATTTTCTTGGGATGGATTCGTCTATGACGTGTTTGTTTGTTCTCAGGCTTTTCGTGGAGATCCTCAACAGCTGCATGGACTGTGATGAGATCCAGTTTAAGGAGGATGGCAGCTGGGCCCCCATGAGGTCCAAGAGGGAAGTGCAAGAGGTCTCCTCTGCTTCCTATAACGGACTGGATGGTGAGACATGTTATGAGGGGTGAGAGGGGAGCAGGGAGGGTAGGAAACAGAAAGGCTGCGTCTATATGAAGCTCTATATGAAGGCAGCGAGAGAAGCTTAGAAGTAATTAAAATAGGATTACAGAGACGTGGTAAGAAGTCTTTGTTTATGCGTTGTCAGTTTTAATTTGTTGAGGCATCCATCATGATGCTACTGAGCAAAGTGCTTGTCTCCTTGGTAACAAACATACTGTATATCATATGAGAGAAGGGCAAATTTGTATGTGTGCATTTTAGCACACGCACGGTATCCAGCATCGCTTTGATTTTTAATCTGCAGCCTCAGAAACACCAATTGATATTTTGTCGCTGCTCTGCAGGTTCATGTCGGACGTCTGCAGGCTCAGATCAGCTGAGCTCCTCGTCGTCCAGCCACGGTGGCAGCGACAGCAGCAATAGCAAGATGGTGGAGGTGATCGACTTGACGCTGGACAGCTCCTCAGACGACGAAGGACAGGATTCGCCGCCGCCTCCGCAGCCGCCGCCGCTGCCTCCTCTGCCCCAAAGAGCGTGTCCCTCTATGTCACCGACCTCGCCGCCCATCATCAACAAAGGGTCAGACACACAAACCCACCCAAGACCGTCTGATTTCATCTCCACATTCTGTTTTGTCTTTCATTAAATGTGGGCACGGGGCTCCTTTTAGCTGCTCAGACGGCTAGTTAGTTATGTGTCTAGATGTTAAATTATTCATGAGTTTTGCACTCGACACACAAGTTTCTTTTACCATTTCACATCTACAGCTCTCACCGAAGAAAGCAGAGAGTGCTGACTGAGAAAGACTTAACTCCTTTAAATTGGATGTATAGATCTAGAAAATGGGTTTGAAAATTGTTTGTTTTTTTGCACACAAGCGTCAAAACAGAGGGTTACAGTTAAGCCAATCGTGATTCCACATGTATATACAATCTCAAGACAGTTTGATGCTTGACTGTTCTCTCAGGATCAGGAAGGATTGGTAACTCAGCTAACAAACAGACTTGATAGAGATGTGGAACGGGGGGAGCTATTTTCATCTGGCCTAAATGTTAGAAAATGGTTCATTTGAGGAGAAGGTTGAAGCTTGTATACATAAATATCAGAGAGTCTAACGTAAACTTACATGATCGTCACGTCATCTGGCTGAGTCCTGTGTTTCTATGTTAAAGGCAGAATGGGCAGGATTTTCCTAAAATAAATGTTTAGATTTAAAAGTGATCCGTCTCATTCGTCACTTATGACCCACTAGATGTGTGTGACGGTGTCTGTATGCACGGAGACCCTGCCCTCTGCCTGTATTTTCTTTTTTCTTGTCATTTTGCCTCGTTTGGGACATTGCTGGGGGTCAACCTTGTAGCGACCAGGTGTCAGATCGTAAGCACATTTGCAGCTTGGCGTGCACCCTAACCGTGTGTCGCTGAGCCGGGGAGTTAGTGCCAACCTCGATCGTTGTGTTTACAACCTGGAACCGACAAATCCTCATTCTGCCTTCAAACAACACGAGGGATATTGTTGCAAGAAAGGCTCTCTGAAGCTCTTAACAGCTACGTTTTAAGACAAATTCATTATGTGCATCTGTGTTAGAACGTGTGCTGCTTCATTTGACTTTAATGAATCCTGTCGTTGTTCAGAGGTTTGTGTTTCGAGGTCAGAGGAGGAAACAGCACACCCCTGTGACTTACCAAATAAATAGGACATGAAATAAAAGCCTAATTATAGATGAAGCGTCCTCTTTAACTCCTCGTCTCTGAAACTCTTCCTTTGTGTCTGCCTTCAGAGTGTTGAACCTGCACCACCAGGCCTCTCCTGTGAGCCGCACACCCAGCATGCCAGCCGTGGACACCAGCTACATCCCTCCTGTCCCCCCACTCATCCAGGACTACAGACCCTACTACCACACACCCAACGACCTGTCGGGTAAAGACAAACGCACGCGGAGATGATTTAATAGGACCTTTAAACGCATAAGTCCATATTAACATCTTTACAATAATAGTATGCAGCCAAGCCAACTCTCCTCATCCCGAATTCTATATATACAATGATGACATTATTATTGAATGTACTGATATAGCCATAAGAGTTAGTGACTTCATAAAGAGTCAAAGCAAGCAGATAAACAATAAGTAATAAAGTCATAGAGTGTGAAAAAGATGTTTTCTAAATGACTGTATTAATGATCTCCTGGAGATATTGAACAGGAAAACCAAAAGTTTAAGATGTCAAAGGGACTTTTGTTCTTATTATTTTGTTTTCTATAAAAGGTCTAATGCCGTTAACTTTAAAACACATTATGTATTTGCGTCTGTGATACAGATTTTGTGTCGATATTCTCCATTGACTCGTCCTGTGCTTGATTTCCAGAGTTGAACTTCTTCTCTTTTCTTCAAGGCGACAATCATCAGGTACGTCAACAGTTTAGTTTTCAGTGAAGTCCTTGAAGCCTGTGACCGTGGTTCATTTTAGAATAATAAAACGGCTCTGACTCTACGAGTAACCAAATATACTTGTGCTCACCAAACAAACAAACAAACAAACAAAGCATGCTTGATGACAAACTGCCTCTCTGCAATAAGCAAAGATCCCTCATGCAGAGTCAAATACTAAACACATATTTGTGTTAAAATGCTATTTGAGCAAAGTCCTCCGTCAGCTCAGATTCTGGACGGTCCAACCCGGCTCTATCGTCCCCTCTGCAGCTGCAGCCTCGAGTGGTCTCTCTCCGTCTGAGTCAGCCAAAACATACATTGTCAACATACAAACATACAAACACCGTCCTCATGTTGGCAGTGTAATCGTTGTTTTGTTTCCAGCTGATTGAAGAAATCTTCACAAAGTAATTCTACATATAGTATCAGTTTTACCCAGTAGAGACCAGATTTATTTACTTAATTATAGCAGTTGGTGAGTATTTAATGTACTCTTAATGAACTGTCAAACTAATTTGGGTCTGAACAGCAAACTTTTGGTTTGATGAATAACATTTTTGTAATTCACCATTAGTGAGCTGAGTAGAATCGAATTACCACGGACTCCATCATAATATGCTTTTAAAAGTTCATTAATGTTTTATTTATTTTTTCACTTTTAGTGCATGATTGATTTGTGAACTACTCTTCAACTAAGAACACACACTTGACTTCAAGAGTTTGTCCAAACTCGGCCAGTGAGGAGCTTCTTTTTGTCTCGGTAACTTCCGCAGCCTCTAAATGTGAACTCAACACTTCCTCCTCTCTTGTGTTTCTGCCGCATCAGCATTACAACATGGTGATGGCAGCCGCGGCCGCCGCTTCAGCCTCAGACGACCACGAGCTGCTTCTCAACCGCTTCCTGCCCTACAGCACCTCCTCCAGCTCCTCCCAGCTGTTCCTCGACCAATCGGGAGCCTCCTCGGCCGCTTCGCTGACGGCGCCGACCAACGGGGCGAGCAACTCGGGCAGCAGCAGCAGCCTGGTGTCGTCCAGCAGCCTCCGCGACACTCACTCCACGCACTCGTCCTCGCACTCCTCACACTCCTCACACACGCACCCCGGGGTGGTGGCCAGCCGGAGCAGCGCCGAAGCAGCGGTGGCAGCTATTTACGGCGGGATACCCGACGTTATATCGTTGGACTGACTCCAGAAGGGTCAAGACTACACTTTGGGTCCAGCTGCGATCCAGTGACAAACTCTTTGACTGCAGGGTAACGTTTTGATCCAGAAACTAGACTGGCCCCCAAGTCCTCTAACTCAGAACGATTGTTCTCAAGAAGAGCCTCAAGAAGAGCACTAATATTAGGAGTGGGTTCAGGCCTGACCTGAGAACAGTACAGAGTCATCACTTAGAGGGGTCAGCGGTGGACATTCTGTTTGTATACTGACTTTAGATCACAAACCTGTCCAGCATGTGAACCCGCGGTGACTGCGATACTGGTACCAACCCGGCACGAACAGCAAAGACGCTACCTGAGCAAAAAAAACACAAAGGAGGAAGGCTCTTTTTTTACAAAAACGAGGAGTGGCACCGTGTACAGAGAACAAAATATATTTTCCTCTTTTACTTTTGTATGTTGAATCGGGACATTTTCAGTCTAGTGAGCTGCTTCAATCGCTGTTTGTAAGTGGAGGACTGAGGTTGTTTCTCACAAAAGCTTAAACATATGCCTCTTGTTTCTCTTCTCTTTTATTCTGCTTACATGTCGTTTTATTTGCATCTCTACAATATATACTTCAATTCTTTCTCTTTCTCACGTGCTCGAGTTCATTTTTAAATTCATGATGTATTATTTCTCTGTCCAACGACAAGAACACTGAATTTACAGTTTATTCATGTACTAATAATTTTATTATGCTTTTAAGTTATGTATATTTAAACAGTTATTAATATATATATATATATATATATATATATATACAGTTTATATATATATATGCATTCCCTTCTACCTTCAGGTTAATGCTGTGGGGAGTGTCAGTGGAAATTAGCCATTTCTGGTTCTTCATTCTCACTCCTCACAGAGACTCTGCCGGCGTACAGCATTTAGAAATGGAGACTTTTAGACTATTTATAGCTGCCAATTTACAGTTCTGAGCTGGAAGAGTTTGTTTTTGTTTCCTTCTTCTTCTTTTTTTTGCACAATGCCAAAAATAAGATACGGTACCTTTGAAAAGTCACACAATAATCAGAGTGCAGTTGAATCTGTGTGCCACAGTGTTTCCACTTCTTCCATTTCAGCTGGTCGTTATTCAGACTCTTTAAATTTTCTTCAGTTTCACCGTTTTCTTGCTCGACAAAGGGAAAACGCGATGGCGGTCAATCTGTTGTAGAAGAGAGCACGGCATGTGACCAAGTTTAAACTAGTGCCTGTTTATGTGCATGCTTTTACAGCGTGTTTGGGATGTTTGAGTGGTCAAACTCAAAGGAATGTCTTAAACGGTCACCCTCTGTTGAAGACTTGACTTGTGACCGATAGCTTTGACGGCGTAGAGGTTATCTAGGGAGTTTATCTTTGGGGAAACTGCTTGTGGAAAAGCATGGAAGGAGTGTGAAAGAGGGAGATCTCAGCATGCCAACTTGGACTAGGCACAAAGCCAGCTGGTTTAAAAAAAATACATGAGCCGTCTGTAATTCAACAAACCCTGAGAGTTCGTCGGTGTGTGATGCACAAGTGTCAAAGCGAGGAGGAGTCCCGCGAGTCTGCTGAAAACGCAGAGATCGCTCATGAATGTATCGTAGAATTTTAAGAGTGGACATTTTGTTTCAGTTATTAATAGAGGTTGTAGCGGTCACATTACCAGTGACATACAGTCGACCTGGTACCCCCCCTCCCCCCTCCTCCTTCCCGTCTGGGTGTCCTTGAAACTTTCCTGTCTTTCCAGTTCCTCCTCAATTATCCACTCCCAGACGTCCGAGGCAGTTCAGTTCACTTTAAAGTCTAATTATCTCCACCACCATGAGATAATCGCCTCTGACAGCATCACTTGACATCCTGTCCTGTCCTTCAACTGGGAGACTCACCCAAAATGACCCCCACACCCCCCTCCCTCCCTCCCTCCCTCGCTCTCTCTTGATGTCTTTTATTTTATTTATTTTTCCTGGGAACCAACCTCCGGCTCTCACACTGAACCGGAGCCAGTCTTGTGTATTTCCTATGTTGTGCAGTATTTTATTTATTTTGTATTCTTATTTCTATATATTATATTTTTACAAATCGTTATTAATTTCCATGGATGAGCGTGTAAGTCACTGTCACTCGGGAGCTGTTGAGTTTTTTTTAATTATTTTTATTTAATATGTATTTTATTATTTTTATTTGTCGGTACGGTTTAGTTATTCGTCGTAGAAAGGCCTCTGTGTATTTTCTTGGGAGCTGACATGCGTAACATATAATAAGGATAATAAGGACACAAAGCACATGTTTATCGTACATGGCTCATGATGATGTCATTATGAATTAGCTAGAATCCAGTGACATAGAAAAATAGCAGTATTGATATCGAAATATGAAGCTGTTTTTTTTTTGTTTTATCAAACCTTTTGTCAGAAATAATCTCCAGTATTGTTGTCGGATCAGTTCAGGCCGGTTGCTCCACCCACTTTGGTCCAGACTTAAATATCTCAACATCTATTGGAGGAATTACCGTGAAACTTTGTACAGACATTCATTGTTCCCAGAGGATGAATCCAACTGACTTTGGTGATCCTCTGACTCCTTCAGTGCTACCATCAGGTCAAAGTGTTGCGCTTTACTTGGTTTTAGTGCTGATTAGCACACGTTAACATGCTGAACTTAGACGGTAAACATTATACCTGATAAACATCAGCATGTTAGCATCCTGACGTTAGCATCGATTATTCTATCAGAACAGCGACTGTTCTGCTTTCAGAGAGGCTGATTAAATGCATGGGTCCAAAATATCCTTTCATCCCTGTCCAAAGTAAACCATGTATCCAAATGTTACCTTCATGGGTTTATAGAAATCTCCTATTTATCACACTAAAGAAGCCTCTTAATTAGCTGAACATGCATGAGCACAGAGTTTTTCTTTGCTCATGAAACGAGTTGGAGTAAAGATATGGTAGATTTGGAGCTGCACGGGTTTTTCACAGACCAGCAATGCTACTGTATGTAACTGGATTCCAGCTAATTCAGAGCATATGAATTAATGTATGAAGTAACTTTGAGTTCATTGACGGAATATTCATTAAGCGTTAACTCATCACATAATTCATAACACACCCTGGGTCGATTCATGCATCAAATCATCATGACTCATGCATTAGTCAAGCATGTGTGTTTGTACCTTTTGTTATGAAGAGTTATGCACACTTCTCACACTGAAGATGTTGAGCCTACCATCATGGTAGTTTGAATAATAATCACCAGTATTTGGACGCCTGACAAGGTGGTCACAGTTCATTAGATCACAATTTCATTTATTTAAACTTCTTCTTTCCTCGCGGTGCAGCAGATATACGCACATGAAGTGAGAGTCCAGACCGTGTTGACTGTGTTTCTGTTGAAGTGCTCCACACACTGGGGGTCTCTATGGGATTACCGAATTGTTTCATAGCGTCAAGTGGGCACAGCTCCCTCCTGTGGTGCACAGTTGTTGGATATCTGGGGGAGAAACCGTCATTATTGAGCAGGGGTATTTGGTTTTTTATTGTTGTTATAAAATATCAGATTGCCGGCAATGATGGATAAGCACAGGGCTGTTGCCATCTCAATCCCTCTCCGACATGAGTCACACAGGTGTGCACATTCACGCAGTATCTATGGAGCATTTTTCTCAGCAGCTTATGTGTTTGCTGGTGTGAGGACACTGGGAATAAGGCCACTATTATTTGTACTTACTCGGAAAGGTGTTTTCAAAACGGTGTCGAGCAGCTCAACTCTTTGGTTGTCATGACGTCTCGCCGTAGATAAAAGGGAAAAGTCAACTGTGTGTATGTTGTGTCTGTATGGAAGCCCGAAAGTTCAGATCCAAACGTTCGGTGTTTGATGTCCGTTTGTATGCTTTTTGTGTGTCAATTCAGAGCGAGAGAATAAATTAATTTATATATTTTTTAGAAAAATGACAGCTGTTCTATTATTAAGAAAAGGGACTGTGGCCAATAAAGAGTCTTACGCAGCAGAAATGATCTCAACGTCAGACTTAAGTCGATATCTGCACTCACTGCCTTAAAACATTCACAGGTTCTGTTTCACGGCTCCAATCCGAGAAAAATCATAAGGCTTTTCGAGGAGGGCGAGGAGAGGAGGGTGTACAGTAGACCCTTGTCAGTTTGTACAAATATACCAAGTGAAAAAAAAATATTTATTACCTGCATTGAAGAAATTGTTTACTTATTGAATGTTATCTGTTTATGTAGAACATTTTAGATGTAATAAAATGCATTCTGTTATTTCTTTGTGTTTTCCCTCATTTTTAAACGATGGGATTTATCCTTTCTGGAGGAAAATGTTTTCTGTCAAATGCAATTTTAAACTGCCTGTTACACCTAGAAGTGAACACTGGGTGGCAGCAGAGAGACAGTGTCATCAACATGTCCCTTGCTGCGATGGCACAAAACCAATTACGCACGCTTTGTTGACTCCAGCCGTTGCCTTCCTGGCTCTGACACGAGCTATATATAATATAAAGATATAAAATAATGAATGAAGATGTTTAACTTTTGATTAAAAGTGATGGGGAGGCCTCGTGCAACGAGGAGACTACGTTACGCACAAGACAGATGGACGCGTCAAACCTAATGTTCGCTCAACCCCACCATTCCTGTCGGAGCTAGCAGCAGAGAGGAGAGAAGGGGGCACAACACCACAGGAGGGTGGGGGTGGATACAGATGGAGGAGTTGGGCTGGCATCATGTACTAATGTGTCACTCCAAGATCCAGCTCTACTTGGACAGATAGATTTGATTTATCTTGAATATAGAAGTGTCCGTGAGCTGCTGACATTATGAATGAGGAAAATGAGAGCGTTTGTTTGAACAGTTCACTAGTTGAGGTTGACTACTTCAGCAACCTGGAGGACATCGACGTGACGGCGGACGGGACCCCAATTCTGAGGTTCCTCATCTGCCTTGTGTATTGTGTTGTCTGCGCTGCGGGTCTGGTGGGCAACGTGCTGGTCCTCTTCTTCATCAGGGTCAAACAAGGTCGGAAGAAGTCCACGGTGAACTTCTTCGTGCTCAACTTGGCGGTGACGGACCTCCAGTTCGTGCTCACTCTGCCCTTCTGGGCCGTGGACACCGTGCTGGACTTCAGCTGGCCGTTTGGAGACGCCATGTGCAAAATCATTCTCTCGGTCACCGTGATGAACATGTACGCCAGCGTGTTTTTTCTCACTGCCATGAGTGTGACCCGCTACTGGTCAGTCGTCTCGGCTCTGAAAAACAGAACCGCGCGAAAGTCCTGTTCCGCCAACTGGACCTGCGCAATAATTTGGACACTGGCGTCTCTGGCGACTGCGCCGACGACGATTTTCTCAACTGTCAGCAACGTAACCGGAGAAAAGCTCTGTTTGCTGAGGTTTCCAGGTGGGCAGTACTGGTTGGCACTTTATCACATACAGAAAATGCTTGTAGGTTTTGTTTTGCCAATGTTCATCGTGTCCATCAGCTACATCATGCTGCTGCGTTTCATCAGCAATCGGAGTATGAAAACAGACAACCCCAAACGGAGATCCAAAGTTACAAAAGCTATCACCATCGTCGTGTTGTCCTTCTTCCTGTGCTGGATGCCGAACCAGGCCATCACCTTGTGGAGTGTACTGGTCAAACTGAACGTCGCAAACTGGGACAAAGCTTATTACATAGTCCACACGTATGTGTTCCCTCTGACCGTCTGTATGGCTCACACCAACAGCTGTCTGAACCCCATTATTTACTGCCTCATGAGGAAGGAGTTCAGGAATAAACTGAGGAGTCTGATACACAGAGGATGAGGTTTTTTTGGACCTCTGTGAATGATTTAACGAATTGACAAACAGTAACCAAGACGCACGGATTGCGCACGGCGAAAGAATCATGGAGCGAGAGAGGAGATCAGCTGTCAGAAAGCACAATGAGAACCAGCAACATTATGTATATGAGGAGTATTTACTCCATTCTGCTTATGGAATAATGTAACTTTCATGCGCGCTTCTTGTTTTTAAAGGCCTGCGCGTAATGTGGCTTTTTTATATAGCTTTACGCATAGGAAGTGCTAATTTTGTGTTTAAGTATTACACTTGGATGTCCACTGTGGCATTGCTTTTAAATATCCACTATGAGTGGTGTGTCTCTAGTCAATCGAAGTGAGTGTGTAATTGAAAATTATAATTAACAACAGCTTGCATTGAAGTTGAACAGGTGAAACAGCGCTTTCTACATCCATCTGTGAATGTCTTTGAAAATAATGTAACCAGTGTGCGATAAGTGTGTTTACAAGACAATCGTGGATGCAAACTTCACCTCTTCTGAACCAAAGGAGGATATTTACCAACACACATACTCACGATTCTCACTTCCAACTCCTCAGACAGCCTACTGAGTGTCAGACTAAAGCTCTTGTACCCCTCTAGCGTGAGTTTTCCACGTGTCACGGACGGTGTCAGTTTCCACTTCTTACACAAGCGGCAACCTCCTGCTCTGAAAAGAGAAGCCAATGCGAAAGTGACTTCAACTTGCATTATTTCTCCTGATCAGCAGGGGGCGATTCCTCTGGTTGCAAAGAGTAGTCAGATTTTATAGAAGTCTATCAGAAAATGATCCTACGTCTCACTAGTAACAATGTAAATATGAGTGTATGGTCTCAATTGCTAGTTTCAAGTCTTCTTCAACACAGCGTGATGTTCATTTAGTAAATTGCAGCCAAAATCTAAGATGGCGATGGCCAAAATGCTGAACTCGGGGCTCTATGACTGCAGTCCACAAACCAATTAGGTAACTTCACGACAGCTATGTCACCCATTGGTTTGTTGACTGACGTTTTGAAGCCTCAAGTTTGGCATTCGGGAAATTGCCATCTTGGTTTTTGGCCGTCGCCATCTTGGTTTTGGTAACCGGAAAAGAAAAAGAGAGGGTTGAGTACAACCAAATGCTGAGTAAGATATTTTTAGGCAACCAAAAATGTAACAATTTACTTTCATGAACTGAAAACCCACTTTGAAAGGGTTAAAGTTGTAAGACGAAAACTAGGATAACTCCCAGACCGGACAACATGTGGTAGCAACCTGTCAACCACAAGATGACCACGCCCTAAAGCATACCCTGCTTTATCATCTATTTTAATCTAAATGGGACCGTAAAGAACATCATGCTGTATTGAAAAAGACTTGAAACTATAGCGATAAAGACCATAAACTCATGTTTACAATGTTTTTCCCCCTGCTGGCCATTTAAAACAATGCAAGTTTAAGGCACTTCAGCGTTGCCTTCACTTTTCAGACCCCTTGGTTGGTTAGGGTAAGGAAAAGAGCATTGTTGACGTTAACTTGACTGGCGAACGACTCACGAGACTCAAGTGACTAGCGTCAATAATGACTCTTGTCAATGTTTACTTTTAGTTTTGCCCGTGACATGAACAGCGGTCTCCTGGACAAAAGTCCTGTGTTTGTCCGGTGACTGCTTTGTCTACGTTCTGTCTAATAACGAGGCAGGTGGGTTTGCATTGGAGTTAGTTGAAAGCACCGCGGTGCGTCGGTATCAGACACCGAGGGGCACTGACCAGGCGGTTTTTGACGAGTTGGGATTGAGATCAGATTAGTTACAGGTCATTTTTTTAATTATTGAATATAACATGCCAAACAACAAAATGTGTAAAATATGATTGTTGTAAATACACCAAAAAAAACTGTATCCACGTGTGACAATAAAAATGTACTCAAGTCGACTCACATGGCTTAGTTTTTCTCTATAATAACATCTGATTGTGCACGAGTCAAAAAAGTAACAGGTGGAGGCTTTTGATGTGCGATTTTTTTTCTGGATACACCATCTTCAACATACACAGGGTGCAGTAAAAATAGACTTTATGATTGCCTTTCTGCTCAACGCCGGGAGCTCTCCACTATCCCTCATCAGAGGTGAAATTCACTGCGTGCAATACTCTGCGTGAGCCGAGTGCACAAAGGCAGAACTGAGATGCAGCGTACATGCACACACTGCTGAGTGTCGAGTGAGTTTTAACAGAAAGCTCTATAGTTGTCTCACAGCAAGGGCATTGGCTGTAGCTGTGAATTGAATTGAACTGAATGAAAAATGTTGCGCTGAATTAATTGAAAGGCGACCAATTTTATAAATAGTTTATTGAAAGAAGCATATCGAGGAACATTTATTCTGTTTTCTTGTATTTAGGAAGTGATTGGTCAAGTTTGCAATTATATAGTGGGTGGCCTCATCGCTCTCTCACACACACACGGCACAAGAACATGTTTCCTTTTACCTTCACTGGTCTCAAAGAAGAAGGCTGTGATGGAAAGTGTAGACATTTACCCAAGTACTGTACTTGAGTACAGTTCTGAGGTACCAGTTGTTTACCTGAGATACTGCTAGACCTCTTTGAGTAATATCATGTTGGGAGCCGTGTGGAGGACCTACCTCATTCAAGAAATGCTCTGAATTTAGCAACTTTAAGTAACATTTTGAGACACAAACGAAGTAAATTGATCTCATAATTCTGAAAAACAAAGCAGTAATTCAGAAAAGAAAATGTATTTCTTATTTATTTATTCAGCTTTTATTAATTTTCCGTCTCCTTATTGGTATGTTTACTTAAATGAGTAACTAGTCTTTGCTGACGCTTCAATCGTGATACACTGCGGGTCTTGTAAAGGTCAGCTCCATGGCACTTAGTGGATGAATCACAATAGGTGACATTTTGGAGAAAGCACTTGCTTTCTTGAAATTGCTCACATTAAGAAACAATTTCCAGGCCATGAATGTAAAACCATCTCTTTAATAAACCCCAATCATTCCCACCTTTTATGGACACATAAAGAGAACTGCTGTTGCTTGGCACATTGTGAGGGATTTTTTTGCCACTCTGCCTTCCTATTGAATTGGCCGCTTGTTATTTTACTGCAATAAACCTGAACCAGGAAAACATTTCAAGATGAGGAACGTGACCAAAGAAAGAGGCAAGAAACAGCCTCTAGTCATGCCAGCAGAGTTAAAATCCTTTCTGGTTGTTTCTTTCATCTTTGAGATAAGAATGCATTGCTTTTCTCAAGTGATATCAGCTGATTGGCAGATAATAAACAACAATTTAAAATCCCTTCAAATCCATGATTGATATTGAATAGCAATCTAAAAAGACTGCACTACAGACAATAGTCCTGCGTTTAAATCTCTACATGAATAGAAGGTTTTTCAGCAAAATGTACAAAACACACTCTACAGAAAAATAGCCCGTAAGATTGTCAATACTGATGCATGTATCTGTGCGCAGCATCTGACTGATGTATCTGGTCAAGATGGAGCTAGTTTTAAACTTTATGTACAGTTTATTTAGTCGGGTTGTGAAATTAATGATATTATTAGAAATATTCTTCAATCTTTACATTTTAATGAAATATATGGGCACTTTGTGCAATGCAAAAATCTGGATATTTAATTGCTGGCCGTATGGAGCAAAATAGGGGTAAGTCATGGGTTTATTCATAAACTTTATTTGACAGTTGTACCAATTCCTAAAATGCTTTAGAGATATTTATTCTGCCTCCCTCGAGTCTTTTTGACATTGTATAATGATTATTTGCCTTTTCTCACAAAGTTCCTCTTCATTAATCTCTACAAGATAATTTCATAAAGTGTAGTATATTAACTTGACTTTCCCTCCCAAACAAATACACAATTAATTTGTCTTACAATGGCAAAACATGGGAAAAGAGACAAATATATCCGTGCTTGTATCTTAAAGTGGATTTAATATTGCAGAGACTCACAGACATCAGTTTAAGGCTACACATGGTGTCTACTTAACATCCTTTGAGCCATTTGGTGGTTTGTCAGTGCAATTAAAAATACAACTAAGAAGTACGTCAAATATCCAATTCACATGACAATGACAAAACTTGCTAAGTTCAGAGTTCATGAGAATTTATTTTTTTGCCAAAAAGAAACAAGGCTACGGGCCAGAAAAGGCTGAGAAACACTGGTGTGGTGACTCCACAAAAATGTCATCTTTATTTCAGTCTGTTTCTCAACAACCTAGCTGAGTTTTCTCAGGCTAAAAGGTAATCGTGTAATGTGGAAACCTTTGGAAGAAGGTGATCTTACACCCACGTACATTTCAAATCAAAACCAAAGCTACAAAGGTTTCCCGGTATTAAAAATAGAAAGAATATGCAATATACAGAGATAATATTCCAAAAAGATGTGCGTTAATGTACATATAGAGATGTTAAGACATCAATGTAATGTGTAGTGTGTATGGGGGGTGGGATACGGGTCCTTGTCAGTTGGTGTCCCGGGCCTTGTTGATTTACTTGGAACAGAGTATTTTTACAGTGTTGTAGTACTTTTACTGGAAGGATCGAAATACTGTGTGAACCATGGGGTGATCCACAAATGAAAATACAATTGAGTAAATTTAAATAAAATATAAATAACAATAAACTAAAAAATAAATGTTTAAAATTCTAATTGCATTGGGGATAAAATACTTTTTCTATTTTTGCATGTAAATACCATTAGCTAAGTCTGTGAGATCTGTCGTCTGATTGTTTTTACTTTTTCCGACTTTCTGCACGAGCCTCCTGAATGCACCACCGGTCTCCATGTTGGTCACGTGACCCCAGCGGGCAGGCGGGCTTATTCTCAGCTTCTCCTTCGCATTTTTTGGGCACCAATGTCGGAGGTGTTTGTGCCTGGAGGAAATGGACTCTGGCAATGCTATATGGATTTGATCGTTCAGAGATCCGATCAGTTGAGTCTGTGAATGGCGCCAAAACAGGACCCTAAACCTAAATTTCAAGAAGGTCGGTAAACGTTACAGAGAGATGATGATGATGATGATGATGCCTGGAGGGGGGCGGGTTTGTTGTTGTTGATGTTGCTGGTCCTGCTCGACAATAGTGGTCTCCAAGGAGGTAGACAGAGCCCACAGAGCCTTTATTATCGTCCGTAGATGTGAAGAATTAATTTAAAACGCACTCTACATTGACACTTA